ATAGATAGATAGATAGATAGATAGATAGATAGATAGATAGATAGATAGATAGATAGAACTTGTATGTGTGTGTGTGTGTGTGTATGTGTATGTGTGTGTGTGTGTATGTATGTGTGTATGTATGTATGTATATATATATATATATATACACACACACACACACACACATACATACATACATACATACATACATAAAACTTGTAAAATTTTGGTTTTTCCCCTCAAAATCTTGAAAGATTTTAGTCAGGACACCACAATATCAGAGATGTTGCAAATATTTAATGTATTCTAATCAATAGAAAAATTCTGAAGATGCTATGTGGGGGAATTCTGCATTGGGCAGAAGATTTGTCCAAGACTTAAATTGTATAATTCTTTGAGTGAAGTGCACCCTTGGTGCTGGCAGATGTTGCAGTGCTGACTTCTGGTTCTTGTCCTAGTTCTCAAAGTTATTGATAATAATATAGTTGTATGTTTAAAGAAAAACACTAGAATCCCTGTTCTACAATACATCTTTGAAACTTGAAGATAATCTCTGATGTCTTATACCAGTGTTTATCAATCTTAGCAAGTTTAAGATGTTTGGACCTCTTAAAGTTGCCAAGGTTGAGAAACACTGCCTTATAGCAAAGAAGGTAATTTATTGTTAGCAAAAGCTAGTTCTGTGAACATTATTCCTTTCAAGGCCAAAACTGTACTGCCCATATTTAAAGGAGGAAATGTCAGTAGACTCGAGATGTTCCAACTTTTGAAGAAGTACGAAAACTATAGGGTTTGGGAGAAGGGGGAATTCCAACACATATTAATAAGGATTGAGGATGAGGATGATGGACACAGAATATCATAGGCTAAAGGGCTTGGCTGGGTATTTGTATATGGAATAGGAGCTCTTTACATTTTAACATTATGTTATGGATTCCACTTGCTATAACTTGATACTTTGGTTATTAAATTCAGTAACATAATTCATAACGTAATTCATGTTTGTGAGACAAACCTGTTCCCCATGGAAAGGACTGGGTTTTTTTTTTTAATTTATGTATCTTTCTGTTTTTATGAATTGTAAGATCTGTATAACATAGATCCATTTGGCTAATTTACAGCTATGAAACTGACTGCAGTGGCCCAAGCATGCAGTCTGTAAAATGTATATTTTCTTACTGACTTATTAAAGTAGAGTGGAGAATGCCGTATTTGCTATCAATCAACTGAGAGGAAAAATAATTGAACTAATGTTCATATTGTGTGTGTAGCATTCCTCTCTGACTTGCTATTTACTTCAGACTTCATTGATTTTTATTTTATACCAAAGCCATTACATGGGATCGAGATTAATTAATCTTTCACTATAGCCTAACTAGTAAGTAATTAGGTCTTATGCAGTCAAGCAGTTAATCAGTGGGATAATCATGAGTGTTTCACCAGTTTGTTCCACATGCAAATTCTTATTTTAGATGCAGTCAAATAATAAATTTATTTACTCAAACTCGGTAACACAGTCCTTAAACTAATTTTATAGTAATATGGAACAGTAATTTAAATACATTTGGTGGGGTCTAAAGGGTCATGCACTAACATATATGCACACTGGGTTTTAAATTCCTATAATAATCTATTGAGGTTGCTGAAAGCTGTCTCTGACAGTTGGCAAACATTTAATGTCGTAGAAAAAGGAGCCTTGTGACTCTTCATCAGATGCAAAGTCTTTCCCTAAATGTAAACAAAGAGCCTTTCTTCCTTTTATCATTCAGGATGATCCTGTATGTGTTTATAAATCACACATATGAGAAATGCATTTAAATGCTCCCTAGATCCATGTCCCTCCCAGCTTGTGAAAGCGGCCCCAGGGGATGTTGTGAGAGTGGGCTCTAGCGGTGATCAGTTCTTCTTTGAGGGAGGGGGTTGTTCCTTTTCCTCTTAAAGAGGCTATGGTGCGCCCTCTCCTCAAGAATCTGTTGCTAGATCCCACCATCATACTGGACAACTTTCATCCAGTATCTAACCTCCCTTTTTTGGGTAAGGTGGTTGAGAAGGTGGTTATGCAACAACTTCAGAGGGCCTTGGATGAAGCAG